GAAATTGCAGCACCTGCAAAACAAGGTTCTCCGCACCATTGGCAAATTTCCGAGGTGCACACCGGTCCGCGATTTGTACATGGCATTCTTAATCCGGTATGCACATGACTTTATAACAAAATTGTGCAGGCAACAGGCAGAAGTCATACAAAATCATGAGAATGAGAATGTTCGCAACATCGGACAAGGCGAAGCCTGCCTCAAAAAATATAAGAGGCTTAAACTTGGCGGCGGTCAGGCATACAACCGTTCATATGACTAGACTGCCCTGGTAAAGAATAATACTGGAAATAGGGCGTAATCTGCTGTACTGAGCCTGGACTGACAGAGGCCTTGTATATATTTTACATAAAAGTAAGAAATAAGTATGTATTGTAAATTTATGTAAATACAGAGAGTGAACATGTTACTACAGACTGACTGACAAATGACAGACCCGACCTCTCATCAGAGAGGGCGCCCCACATTGACAAGACAGTAACATTCATTCAAAAGAAATATCTGTTCATGAGCCCCAGTGGGGGGTCGACCCAAGACAGACAGTCTGACTGACCGTCAGTTGCAACATGACTGTCCTGTCCTGTTCTACGTGAGTAGTTAGCGCGTGTGATGGTGAAAAGTGAGCTGGAAAGTGGGTGCTGTTTAAATATATGTGGGATGTTCCCACGTAGCTAAGTAACTGTTGCCAGTTCATTTACCTTCTTGTGCTTGTGGTGCTTGTCATCTGCAGTTGCTAAACATTTCGGTTGGAAAGAGAAGTTGCGTGTGGTCTGTGTGATAGGGCGCTTAGTGAAGTTGTGGAGTTTTTCACATCTCGAGGAAAGTGTTAATAACAGTGTGTGTAGTTAGATTTGACATCATTTCAAAATGGAGAGTAAAACAAAATCTAGACAGGAAATTAATATAGAATCTCCGAAGCCTGATACGCGGTCCACAGACAGAAAGAGACTGCATTTCTCTTCATCTGATACATCTAGGACATGAGGCGCATATATACCTCCTGCCAAGTTAAGAATGATGCAAGCCCAAATTATGGACAAATCTGGTGCCTCATATCAGAGGATAGAATGGGAAGCACTGAAAAAATCTATACATGGGCACATCAATAAGGTGAACACTGGAAATATTGCTATTGTCGTGTGAGTGTTGCTGAAAGGAAATATTGTCGGGGTGAGGGCAACTTTGTTGTTCAATAATCCAGACGCAAGCAGCATCAGTGACGTTCAGCCATGTTTATGCAGCGTTGGTAGCAGTTATCAACTCCAAGGTAAGACTTTTAGAATAGTTTGTTCAGTGTGAACTGTATTTGGAAGTGTTCCATATTTAGGTTAGAATTTACCCTTATTATCCATATTATAGAGGCATTATGAAATTTAGAATAGCAGCAACATGCAAAAGTTAACATACTGCTTATAATAGATCATTTTCTTAAGTATTGTATGGTGTGGTTTCTTGCTATTCTGCTGTTGGCATTGTGTTTGAAACGCATGCTGTAATCACTGCCATCCAGATATGAGAATCAACTGGCATGTAGACTGCTATAGTATGCATGTTATATTGATACCACTTGCAATAATTTTAATTTTCTTCACCTATTAGACATGCAGGAAGCTAAGTGCCCTTGCCTAGAGGATTATATCATGAGTATGATCATTATCACTTGCATAAAATTGGCTGATGTTTAATGCAGCTACTTCTTGTAAGGAAATATTCAGTTTATGAAAGAATAGCTTGCAAATCTTACTGGCTTCAGATTGCAAAAGAGTCCTGATTCACAGGTGGTATGCCAGATTTTCTTAAACATTTTGTGTTCTTAGTTAAGCATTTTATACTGCCAAATCAGAAATGTTTTAATGAAAAGTTTATTTTGAGCAGGATGTGTTAATGTTCTGTACTGTCATTTGAAGGCTGTGAAGGCATATATATGGCACAGTATACACTGAGACTTTGGTGTGCTAATTTAGTTAATGCTGAAAAAGCATTCAGAATACTAATTTTAATTAAATTGTTTTGTTCCCACAGTTCCTAAATATTGGAGAATTGCTGCTGAGACGGCTTGTCATCCAGTTCAGACGTGGTTTCAAGCGCAATGATAAGACCATTTGAATTTCTGCTGCAACATTTTTTGCTTACCTTGTAAACCAGCGAGTGGTAAGCAGAGTTAGAAAGTTTTCTCTGAGTAGCATATGTTAATCATATTGAATAACATGCGTTATAGTTGTGATTTAAGCAGTTCTGACCAGCCATTCAGTATGATGTAATCATTATCTGGAAAGTTGGAGATCAACCTGTTCTTTTTTCCTTGTCAGGAGAAAAAAAAACCTTTTAACAGTACTTCATTAAATTTCATTATTTACATCATTTATAAGTTTTAATGTTTCTTTTCTTGGTTTTTATGAATAATTAGAACCAGTTTTTACTTTAAACAACAAAATCTTTCAATTTTTCATAATTTTACCTTACATTTTTCCAGTTTGTAAATCACTTTACAGCCATCAGCAGGTTCTAATCAGAAAGTCAACTCAATGGCCAGTACATGCACAGATCTTCATACATAAATGAAAAAAAAATTAGCAAGATCCATTACAAATCAGAGAAAATTTTATGTCTTGGACCTCACTATAATTCATTCAAGGATGTGCCAGAGAGGCAAATTGAACAGTAGTCCCACATTTTAAGCATGCTGTTTATGAAAATGCATTTGAATTAGGCTTCAGTTTCAGCATTCTTTGTAGCACCTAGAAGGAAATAAAACTTGAAAGAAACAGAATTACCAAATATGTTGGTCAGGTGACAGCACTGTCGGCTTGTATTTGAGAGATGCTTTCTCAGTTAGGTAATGACTGCCTTCTTCCACATCTGTTCCAGTTCATCATTTGCCAGTCATCCGGCCGTTCAGTGCCATGCAGTCTAGATACTGACATTGTTGTAAAATAGTCCACTAAACAGGCAGCTGTTTATTTTTACAAATATTGGGGAGAATAATTTATGTATAGAGTGTTCAAATATTCAGTCTGATGCAAGCTATACTCAAGATGAGGAATAAATATGAGTTCTTTCTTTTAAATAGCATTCTGAGTGCATACTTGACTTATACCCAGTGAGTCTTAACGAAATACATTAAGTATAAACTTCATGTTCTACACTTACAGGCAAGCAAAAATGTTTATAAATGTATGGTAAACTGCCAAAGATCATCATCCTACTGCATGACAATGCTTGTCAACATATGGCAAATTTGACGAAGGCAGCATTGGCATCATTGGGCTGGGAAATCATGAACCACCCTCTTTACAGCCCTGATTTAAACACCAGTGATTTCCATTTGTTTGGACCAATGAAGATGCACCTAGGACAGAAATTTCAAACTGGTGAACTTGAATGCAATGTCCTAACCTGGCTGCATAGTCAGAATTAAACCTTTTATGCTGCTGGTATCATTAACTTGGCAGGAAAATTGGAAAAAATGTGTTTGTATAAAGGGAGAATATCTTGAAAAAGCATGAGAGTCTGTCAATATTGGCATTTATCTTATTTTTGTAAAAAAAAAAAATGAAGTCCAGGTCAAATTATAACCACCCTTTTTAAAAGAGGGTAAATGAAAGACGATTAACTAACCCCTGAAATAGAGCTCCTCGTGAGTGGCTGATACTGCTAACCTGGTGAACAAATTCTGTGCCATTTATAGAACAAAAGATTCACTATTGTGTTCACAGGAGCCTGGTGTTCACACCACCAGTTCCCAGAACGTGTCTTGCTGGTCATGGACTTTCCTACTTCTTGCTGATGTTTATATGCTGAAGTGATGCTTTAAATGATATCCTTTCATACAATTTTGGAATCAGCAGTCAGAATCAGAATTAATAAAATTGAAGTTAAATTTATATTCCAACTGTGTTTATGTCTCAGGCTCATGATATTTTGGCTCTGGAGATCCTAACTCTTCTTGTGGAAACTCCAATGGATGACTCTGTAAAAGTAGCAATAGCATTTCTGAAAGAATGTGGCATGAAATTAATGGAAGTGTCAAATAAAGGAGTTCTTGCCATCTTCGAGATGCTATGTAATATATTACATGAGGGACAGCTTGATAAAAGCGTAAGTTCTGTTTTAATATATATATATATATATATATTCATCAAAAGTGCACACCCTGTTACATGGTACTTCGTCCATCATAAATCCCTCATGAACTGACCAGGAATTGAACCCATGTCACTGCAGTGAGAAGTTGACAAGTAACTGCTTGATCCATGGCATGGCCCTGAAGCAAGCCATGGACCACCACTTGTTGTCAGCACTGATCATGCATGTCTCTTTGCTTCAGCATCCACATTTTATGTATGTGATATGCTGTTTTGACTGCACTTTAATCATATTTTGTTTCTTTTAGGTAAAATACATGATTCAAATGATATTCCAAGTGAGAAAGAATGAATTTCGTGGTCTAAAGGAATTAAACCTTGTTGAAGAAGAGGATCAGTTTACACATCTTGTCACATTAGACGATGCCAAGGATTCAGAAGACATTCTTAGTAAGTATCTCAGGTCTTTAATCTAATGAGTATTTAGCTGTCACTGCACACCCTGATATACAATCATGCGGGGTTGCTCTTTGTGAGACTGCCAAATACATAAGTTATCAATATAATATGACAACCCAAAGAGGAAACCTTAGAGACATATTATCAATATAATGTGACAACCCAAAGAGAAAACCTTAGAGACATGTACTCAATGCCATGCTATTGAACTACAATACTCTACCGAATATAGTGGTACAGAAAATATAAAGGTTACATGTAAGGATCTCAGTGATGCAGAAATGCAGAAGTTACATATAGGGATTTCACAAAAGAAGGAGTCTTGGTTCCTGTGGCTAGACAGGATGCTACAACATTCACATTTCATTATAACAAGTATTCATGTGAGATTGTGTCACAAAATTATACTTTGATAGAACTCTGTTTATAAAATTTAATAAATTATCAGTGCTTTCAAACAGTATAACTAAAACACTGTTCCATTTTAACAGAATAAAATTATTACAGTGAAATCCCTTTTCTTAAAGGAATCTCATTTACACAAAATTGAGGTTCTTACTAAATTGGAATTATGCAAAATTGTACCAAGAAAGTGCTCATCATCCTGTAAGAATTACTGTGGTAAACTTCCATTTAATATGTTCCTCAGTTCAGTGCTGAAATTCACTGATGTGTAGAGAAACTGTAAGTTGGGATTTTGCTCTATATGACTTACAAAGATGACTTTTAGGCATAGTGGAACTATTTCTTACCGATTTAAAATGACCTGTATATTAAAACTGTTTGCTACTTTAATATTTCAGATGTATTCAAGTTTGGCCCAGAATATGAAGCCAATGAGAAGAAGTATAGTGCTCTCAGAAAAGAGATTCTAGATGAAGGCAATAGTAGTTCAGAAAGTGTCTCAGGTTTAGAAGAAGAAAATGACTCAGAAGAAGGAAGTGAAAATGGTAAGCTACAAATTAATTCTTATGATTTATTAAATTGGCAAAAGTGTCATGTTTGTATACTGTCATGCAGCTCCACAAGTGAAGCATGATCCCTTTTTCATATTTATGTCCTTTTCATACTACACAATTTTAGGTCAACAGGATATTTTTTGGTAGAATTTACACCTAGTAATTGTTCTTTGTTCATGCATATAATAGTATATTCTTCCCACTGTCTTAGTGCTTAACTTCCAAGACTAGCCGTTTGTTAGAATTTAATATTTTCTTTTAGTCCTAGAGAAGAGGTGTTGGAATATTATCACGACAGACTGTACCTCTGAAATGGTACAGTACCTTCCCTCCATTATTTC